AAGAGAAAGAGAGAGAGGGAGAGGGAGGAAGAGAAAGAGAGAGAGGGGGAGAGGGAAGGAGGGAGAGAGAGGGGGAGGAAGAGGGAGAGAGAGGGAGAGAGAGAGGGAGGGAGGGAGAGAGAGGGAGAGGGAGAGAGGGAGAGAGGGAGAGAAAGAGAGAGGGGGGGAGAGGAAAGGAGGGAGAGGGAGAGAAATCCGGCCCGGGTTTTCCTTTCCGCCCTTCTTTCTGTGAGCCGGCTCTGCAATTTGGAGCACGTTTCGCTCGCGCTTCGTTGTGCGCGCTCGCAGCTCGCTCGGCTGCTCCGGGTAGCCTTGCGCACGGCAGAGCCGCGGCTTCCCTCTGATCTCCGGCGAGGCGAGCCCCCCTCGCTCTCTCTTTTTCGCTCTCTCTCTTTTTTTTTCATCCTCTCCCTTGATGTCTGCCTCTCACCCGGGCGAAACGCGTCGCGCCACGCCAGCCAATCCTCGCTTTCCCGCGCGGCGATTCCTCCCGCTGCCTTCAACCTGAGCGCGGCTCGGCGCTTCGCCGTTCCCACCCGTAGGGCAGCCACACGGCCCCGCGGAACCCGGGCGGGGTGGGTGGGTGGGAGAGAGAGAGACTTGAACCAGCCGCCGGCCGAGGAGCAACGGGAGGCGTGGGCGAAAGAGGCGGCGGTTCTTTGCGCCTAACGGTGCGGGCTGCCTTCCCCAGAGCCGGCTACTCAAAGTTTGCGGGGCTCGCTGGAGGAGGTCTGCGTGGCGCCTAGACACGCGCGGGTGGGGTCTCGGGGAAGGCACTTCGCGCTGGAGGGCTCCGCTCGGCGCCTTTTGGAAGGAGAAGAGGAGGAAGAAGAGGAGGAGGAGGAAGGAGGAGGAGAAGAAGAGGAACTCTTCGCGGGGATTTATTTGTCCAGTGGATTTGGCGTCTCTCCCTGGTTTTGCAAAGCGAGCGGGTCGGGTCTTTGGGGGGGAGCCGGGTTTTTGTCGTGGCAAAAAATTTGGGGAGCGCCATGGTCGCTGGGATGGGGGCGCTGCTTTGGGCTCCCCTCGGGCTGTTGCTGTCACTTCGGGCCGGAGCCGCTGACGTGAAAGCGCGGAGCTGCGGCGAGGTGCGGGAGGCGTACAAAACGAAAGGCTTCAGCCTGGTTAACATCCCCTATCAGGAAATCGCAGGTAAGGGCACCTGGGCGGGCGGCGCGGGCGGGCGGGCGCGGGGCCAGCGATCTTGGGGTGCCTTTGGCGGCGCCCACCTTCTGGGTTTGACTTTTCCCTGGATCTCCCCTTCCTCCCTTTTCCCCTCCGCGCAGCGCTTGTGGGAGCAGTTGAAGCCATGAATTGCTTCATTGTGCCATGAATCCTTTTGAAAATTTCTAAAGCCACTTTCAGGGGATGGACAAATTGGATGAGAGAATGGAGAGGCTTGGCGACAACTTTCTTTCCTTCCTTTTTTCCTTCCTTCTTTCCTTGTTTTCTAAAACTAAAACTTAGGGGAGAGGGAGTCCCTGTTGGGAAGAAAGAAAGAAGAAAAGAAGGAAGGAAAAAAGGAAGACGGAAACAAGGAAGGAAGGATTTCTTTCCTCCTTTCTTTCCTTGTTTCCTCCTTCTTCCTCCTTCTTTCCCTCCTTGTTTACTTCTTTCTTTCCTTCCTTTGCCCCCTTTTTTCTTTTCTTCTTTCCTTCTTCCCAGCAGTAAACCCCCCCCCCCCCCCTCAGTCTACTTCAAAGAGTTCAGCGGCTGGAATACAAGTAGTTGGTCTCTTCTACAAACTTGGATAACATTGTCCACGAGTCTAGCATTAATTCATAAGCTCCCAGGATACTATGGATAAAATTCTTCAGCTTGCAACTGGAGGAACCTTACAGGGTTTTAACTTTTTAGCTGACCACAATCAGTAACAATTGTCCTTTGCCAGTAGGGTGTGCTCTTTATCATACAGGAGTCCTTCTACTGCCTCTGTTTGGCAAAACACCTGTAAAAGATGCAATGCTTCCCACACCTGAGGGAGATTGAAAACACCGAACATTAGAAAGTAAAACAAAACAAAACTGGGGAGATAAGTTTATTGTGAGAAAGCCATGCCTTTAAATCGTGTATTTGTGCTGAAATTTCCCTTTTCTTTTTGCACAATTATGGCACAGTGTGTGAGGTTTCTGGCTTGGACTTCTGTCTTTTTCATTATAAGCCAAGCTATATTCTTCCTATGTATAGGGACAACCTTTAAGCCACCTTGGCAACAAGAAACGATAAGAATTGTAGCTCCATTATGCTGTAGTAGTCCCATTATGCCTGGGAGCTGCTGTAGTGCTATCATTGTTGTCTCTCCAAGACTTGGTTGAATTAATGCATGACTAAGGGGAAAAAGTTGTATGTGTGAGTGAAAGGGTACTAGAATTAATGGTTGAAACGTGCTGTCCATAATTTTAAAAACTGAATGAAGCCACTCATTGATATACACTGAGTGTATACCAGCTTCCAATGAATCTCCTGTAGAGATGAATAGTATACTGTAAGCATGTGTTTTTTTTTTTGGAAAAAAATGGATGTATTAAATCATTTTAAAATAGAAATAAATGTATGAAATTGAAATGAGTTTTACCCTTCTACCTTGCCCTGTTCCAGTTTGGTCAATTTTATTTTTAAGTGGCTTGGCTAAAGTTGTGAACGGGAGTCCTTTCCCAGATTGAATGTGCATGAGTTTGGAGGACTAAGTTTGATATGGCATTAATTGTGCAATTCATTCATGCTTTACATAAATCAATCAATAAATAGATGCTTCAGCCCAGATGTTGCTTACTATTTACAATGGAGCGGAGAGAAAAAAAACTCTGTTCTTGAGATATAGAGTAGCTTAGGAAAGATTTTTCTTAACATACTTAATTTGTTTTCCTTCCCTTCCTTGTGGTGCTAACATTTTCCAGAGTCTTCTCTTGTTATGTTTTAAAATATATATACATTGTACCCATATTTGCTGGTGGCCCCTCATAATAAGATGTCTGCACATTTATTGAGACACACTTCCTATTATGAACAATCAAAACAATCCATGCAGTTCTCAGAAATGTTAGATTTATGTGCGGTATACTTGTTATGTCCTATTCATAACGGGAGAAAAACCTCTGGTTTGTGTATTTAGGGTTGCAGGCTAATATTGAATTGCACAACTTTTCCCAACCAATGGAAGGATTGTAGGATTTTCACAGAAACTGAGGCTGTTTCAAAATTGTTGTTTTGTGTATGAGTAGAAACATGGCAGTCATAAATTGTGAATGAGTGCTGATCTGGTTCGACTTGGCATGTGGAGCTGACTTTCAGGTCATTGGTTCAGCCTGTAGCTATATAGATTAAAGTCTGGGTTGACATAATATAAAGCTTTAGCTGGCATAAGCTGAAATGGTTGGAGAAATAATTCTTTAGCTTCTTTAAGAATAGTTTGAAAGATGCAAACCACATCCATTCAAGGTTGTTTTTTTTTATAAACTATTGGGTAATTTGTTTATTCAGTTCTTAATTGCATTGATATCCTTATATGTTGGGTTGCAATAGAAAGAACTGTGTGGCTGAGTGTATCTTCTTGGTCCAAGTCCAACATTTTAATAGTTTATAAATGAGAAGTTAAATAGCATTGTTGGGTGATGGGGGGATGAATTCATTTTTTCCTACTCATAAAGATTCACTGTTTCTCTGGAGGTCCAAATAACACCAAAGTATTTCAGCCATCTTAGTGGAGTGGAGCTGTGTTTTTCTCTTGTCCTGCCCTTTCTAATAAATTCCACATAGATAGCCTTCTAATGCAGCGTCCCCTAAACTTTTGTGCACCAAGGACTGGTTCCATGGAGAGAGGTTTGTCCGTGGACCAGAGAGGACATGGTTTCGTGTGCTGCCTGTATCCCACAGATGGGGCTTCATTTGCTTGCGTGGCCTGGTTTCTGTTCTAATCTAATCATTTGTGCAGAAATCCAGTTGTCTCTAATGCTTATAGGTATAACAACCACAGTTCTGTAACTCCCTGTCCTGAAGTGGTGGTATTCTACCGGTTTGGCCTGGTTCTATCGAGCTGGTAGCGCCGATGAGCAACGGAGAACAAACCAGTTCTCTGCACCACTCCGCTGTTGGGCCCACCCACCTGCCCAGGCTCCCATACTCACCTTTATTCCCTGCTTTTGAAGCACAGCTGCTTTGCGCGGCACAGTAGAGTGCCGCATAGCAGCTGCTGAAGCAACAGGGAGAGTGCAGGCTTGCAGGAGGTGAGCCTCTGTGCCTGCACAAAGTGTGCATTTGGCATGCGCTCGCACGCAAAGTGTGTGCACGCATGCAAAGCGCGCCCATAAAAGCCATGCCCACCAAACCGGTGGTAAAAATCTTTGAAACCCACCACTGCTGTCCTGGCTTAGAGTTACAGCATCAGAGAATGTGGTGGTCTGGACACTTTTTAGGGAAAAAAAAACCCCAGGAGAATATTTGTATGAATTAAAAGTACGCCCTTTTTGAAAGTGGCTGGGAGAGAACTATTACAAGCAGAGCTAGTTTCATTATAAACCAAATTGGGATTCTGGAATCAAGGTGAAAAAATGACCCACAGAAAAATCACAAGAGCTTCAACTCTGCAGCAATATTAAAATTCTTGTGTTCTGTTTTCCTTCTTTCTCTCTCTCTTTCCACCCCACCATTAATTTGCTAATGTTTTTTAGCAGATATTTCTTTAGGCTGAATCTAAAAGTGTTCTTCAGTTAGGTTTTCCTGACAATAATTGTTCTTTTCCTTTAGGTCAGTGATAGACAGTGTCCTCTTAAGATTCTGCTCTTTATTTTTAATTTTATTTTCAAAAGCATTCCTGCTAAACTAGCTTCGATGCCTCTTGCCATTTTTATCCAATAAACTTCAGATCCTCTGGTTTAGAGATGACTCCTGCTACAAAGCCTGGGAAAGCTTCTGTAATTGATGTTGAAGTATTCACAAAGTAGCGGAAATAAGTGGTGGGAAGACTAATAATCAGCCTTTGGTTTAAATACCGACATTAATCAGTGTTAAATCCGATATTGCTTTTCAACTTTGTCTTAAGATTTCAACACCATCAGCTCCCCTCTGTGGTGCATTGAATATGAATATTGCTGCTAAACCACGTGGATTCTTTTCTTTTTATTAAGCTTCATTGGCTTTTGGGTTCTGTGGGTTTAACTCCAGTTGATGCAAGTGGATGGAAACATTTCAGTTTGATTATATCTATTTGAGGGAGAGGTTGGGTTGTTTTAAGGGAATATAATTAGCAGTATGGTCTTTTGTGCCTAGCGCTGAGTGCTTTGATTAGAGGACAACTAGCTTGGAAAAAGACACTTGGGCATTAAATGTTGCGATTATTATTTTGCCACCACCTGCGATAATTCTTTTGTGACCGCCCACAGCCAATCTAACCAGTTAATGAAGGTGTGATCTGTGCATCTGTTTTTGTTACTCCTTAACAAGGTTATATATAAATCAATTAATTCAGGTGTTCGTGTGCAACTTTAATGATGCTTCGGGTTTTGGAGAATCTGAAATGAATAGAATATAAACAAATAACTAGCTGTATCTTGACTTTCTTTTAATGTAGAATTTTAGGTGTGCACATGATTATATGTTAAAGTGCACAAGCTTAGACATTCAAAAAGTGTTTATAAGATGGGATACCTATTTAAAACAGATTTGTTATTCATCGGAGGAAGGAATTAAGAAGTTTACTTTTAAACCAAGTGAAAGTTATTGGAGTTTTTTTTGTGGAAAAAGACTTAAAATGGGATAATCTAGATCTTCTGTGCCCCCTTGAAATACCACATCTTAATTGTTTTCTAGAAAACCACATGGCTTATATGGACTTCCGAAATCAAACTTGATTTAAGTGAGTCTTAATTTTTATTATCTTCTCTAAAAAGTGAATGGAAGACAGACTTAAAGAAGGATAAAAACCAATTTGTGCTTTCATTTAACTGGAATCAAAACACATAGAGATGAATCATAATTATATTTCTCATAAAGATCCCCGTGTGTATATAACGTTTAAAAACTCAGTTACTCAATTCCTTTTGGGATTCCTTTTGACTTTGTATACCCAAGATTTCTCAAGATTTTTTAAATTCTAGATGATGATATAGCACAGTGCCATGTATAACAGTTTATGATTTAGTATTTGTTGTATTTTT